CTTCCATTGTTTCTTAGGTGTTTGCAGTGTCACTGGAATATCCATTTATTGCTAAACTCTCGGTTGAGAATCTTTGAAAGAGGTGGAGCGTATACTGTGACCAGTATGGGTTGTATGGTGGTCGGGAATCCTGACACTTGTCCAGGAGCTACCCACAGTTTGATAATCTGTTTCTGATAAGATTATCAGTGGTGAAATAGTGGATCTCCTTGTTTGAAGCCAGATTCACTGACTTAATCATACACAGACCTGGAAGCTTGGGGAGCAGGTCTTGCTATATTAATAACGTGTTCTCCCAGCATGAAACATTAGCATCGGATGAGTCAAGAAAGCGCTTCTGAGATAAGATTTTTTATTATTGTCATTGGAGTAGAAAATCTATCCTACACCCTGTATTGAAGGGATTCTTCCTTGGCTCACGGAAATGCTTTACTCTCAGCAGAAAAGCTGTTTGCATGGGTTCACATTTTAAATTGTTCTGTCTGCAGTGACAAGAATTGGAAATTAACTGTATTTTTATAACAAGTCTATGTTCCACAGACCTTCATAGTGTTACTAGAAAAGTGCCAGTGTGGCTTACCACACGCTGCTGGTTCAGTTCAACTCTGCCACAGTCTGGGAGAAAATAGCACTGAATGTTGCCAAGACTACTGAAATCTGCTGGTTTTAAACGAAAGGTGTTACTGTAAGCTCAGAGAAAGATTGCAGAATTGCATAAGAAACAGTAACAATGAAATTAATAAGATTTCTTGCATCACGTATATTTAAATCCCAATGTAATCTTTAATTTTCCAGTAATGTAAGATAGTGGGAGCCGGGCTATTTTAGAGTCTTGAATCATGCATCTGACAGACCAAAATACCAAAGTAACACAGTTGCAAAATTGCTGATAATGTAAAATAGGAAATACTTTCTTTTAAGTATACAATAACGGCTTATTTGGCTTAATAATTGTTTTACTGCTTAGAGGTGCAAAGCAAAGATAAGAGAAATAACCGTGACTGTTAAATAAGCTTGCCTTCACGGGATTGCTTGACTCCTGTGTTGCAAGTAACGTCCAGTAATGGTCAAAGTGGTTTAATCTTCTGAGAACCTGTAGAGCATCGCACCCCCGCCTTCTCCTCCACTTCCCTTTCTGCATGACAAAAATCTTAAATCAAGGACTTGATTTAATTGGGATCAATCAAAGAACTGTTAAATACTTCCTTGTTGAAGGCAAAAGGTGGTTTAACTAGCTGTGACGTTACTGGTTCTGTTTCTGGGCTTTGCTCTGTGAGGCTGGATCCCCTCTCTGTGGGTTCATGTTGTTCTTTGTTCTTGTAGGTTATGTTATATAGGTAACTTAAAGAATTAAACTGATACATGCGGTTATTCTAGCTTTGGAATAGGGCATGTTAGCCATTAGATGACAATGTGTTTTCCCTCTTTTGTACCGTTCTATTAACATAGAAACAAAGTTCAATTATTTGTGGAAAGAACAGGACAAAATTAAGACCTTACCCTATGAAAAAAATTATTTGTGAAGTGCCACATTGGTGCATCACACCAGTAGGAATTTGCCGGGTTCCTTATATAGGTTTCACCCCTCTGGCTGGGAAACCTATAATAGAAAACATGTTTTTCAATGTATTTATTTGTTTGAGATTCTTGCTCAGACAGCTTATATCCAGGCTGGTAGTGAAGAAGGAGAAATCCCCTGCTGTAGTAACAAGAGCCTTATAGTTTGGACTCTTGCCTAGGAAGTTCCTGACTGGTGGGAATAATTTATGTTTATGGGAGATAAACTCCTATATGTAGTTACAAAATCTGACCTACAACCTCCTCCCCAAAAGAGCAAGTGAGAAAATATGGAAGCTATGCTTTTTTAGTAATTATTTTCTTAATCAAAAGCTTCATTATGTTGCACATTATGGACTTCTATCAGAGAAAAACATTGCTGAACCAACTAGTAAATGAACTAGAAGGGACGAGGTGTGGGAGGAAGTTTTTCTTAGCCCTTTTTGGCCATCTGAAGGGCTATTTTAAGACATTGCCAGCTTTGTTCCAGTATTTCAAAGGTTAGCACGCAGCAGGTAGCAGTAAGGATGCACTGCCTGGGAGGGCTGTAGAGCGTTGCTTGGAAGTGCAGGGTGAAGATGGGAAAGCCGAAGCTCAGCAGAGACGCAATTAGCTGTGAAGGGTACAGAGCACTGCGGGCCCTAAAATCCAACCTATTGCATTCTCTTTCTCCTTTCTTCCTGCCCTTGTTAGGGGTTTGTCGTGCAGGGTTCTCCCCGCCCTTGTTAAAAAACTAGGAGGAGCTGAGGAAGGTATGCTTGCAGACAAAGGAGTGAAATGGAAAATGTTACCTCTGAATCCGTTTGTGGTTTAGTCCGTTTGCCAAAAAGCCTATTTCCACCCCTGATTGTATGGGAGGGGAAACCCATTATGGATTTTCATTTCTCTCCTGAGTTGCTATGCTACAACCACTGTTCCTTTTGCAATGTCATTTGGCATTCACAATCTTTGGTGCCGACATAAAACCATTACTGTAGTCCTGCCATTTTTTTTTTTTTTTTTTTTTTTGACCCCTTCTCTGGAAGCTCACTTGCTGGTGACTTTGTGAATATTCATTACATGCTTGTTTTGTTGCAGAGGATGTTGATACATTAGTTCATCTTGACTGATGCCCTTGACTTTAGAAGATAAATAGCAAAGTAGAGATAGGTGACAAGGATTGATGAGCAATCCAGCTTCTAAGCCAAAACGTAAACACTGGTAGATAAGCCCGTAGCTAAAGGGCCTGCAGAATGCACCTTGGTGGAATTAAGAACACGTTTTAAGGTGCAAGAGGAGTTTTCTGTACCTGCCAAGATACAAATCTTTATTTGATGCTTCCTGTTGAAGGCTTATGTTCACCAATGGTTTACTTCTCGGAAAATGAGTTTCCTAGTTGTGAAGGCAAAATCACACATTGCATTAATACAAGTTAATAACTCTTTACAAGAGTGCAAATTATAATTTGGACAGGGAAAAGTACTTGTGTTAACCTGAGCTTGAGCAAATGTACATTTGTGGGAGTTTTAATTAATATCTTTTCTTTGCTGCAAACTTGGTAGGCCATTTCAGATAATGATCCTTCAGTCTAGTGAGTGGTGAGGAAAGGGTCAATAGGGACCGATGTGCCCCATCGCTTGTGAGAGACATCCGAAACTAGATGTTCAAAACACAAGCCTGAATGAAATGGTGCTTTACTGGCAGCTAAGTGGTGGCACTCTCTGCCAGAGGATGCTGGATGACCTAAATACACGTGGATACGACAAACAATTAGAGAAATTCATAAATGTAAAATCCATTTTGGAATGGTGTATGCAAAGGACCTGCAGGCGCCTCGGACAGTCTTTGGGAGTCATAAATTGCTGGGAGACAGTGCCAAAGAAATACTGGAAACTCATTGTGTGTATTGTGTATTAGGCATCTGCTCGTCACGTCCTGAGAGATGGCACGGTTGGTCTGTTGGACCACTGATATGACCAAGAGTAGCTGTCATACCGTAAAATTCTAGAAATAAGGTTGTTCCTGCTTTCTGTGGTCAAACCTGGAGCAGTCAGTCTCCTGCAGTGCTACCCAGCGTTCCAGGTCACTGCCAGTCGTCACTGCTGCTCTCTTAGAAACGGCGCAAGCCGGCACTGCCAGCAGAAGAAATTGTTACACGCCCTGTCCCCAGCTGCCAGGTCCTGCTCCCCATCACCCGCAGCAGTGAGAGCAAAGGGAAGGACAGCATGAGAACAAGCAGGAGAACCACCTCTTCTGGCAGCAGTGTCAGCTCAAAGGGCTTGGAGAGGTGCTCTGACATCTTTGCCAAACTCTACAAAATACCACAGGTATTTTTTTGTAGTCGGTGACCCCACTGGAGGGGACAGCGCTACAGCACGTGACTACTGTTACCTGGTCTGCTGAGGGTGTTGCGGGTTGTGCTATGGAGTGGTGTCCCGAAAACCTCAGCTTGGTGCTTTTTGGCTGAAGTGCTGTACGCAGACCGCTGCTTCATTCACCTCTAGACTGTCATGTGGGTAGTTTGACTCAATTAAAGAAAATGCACAAATGGATTTTAAAATCAGTGAAGATTAAATTTTACTCTCAAACTGAAATGATTTCCTGACGAGCAGTCTCTGATACCCTAGCCTTACAGACAAGCATCCAGTTCAGCTTTATACTTCAGCTATCCCAGCCCTTCATATAATTTCTTCTGTCCTTCCTCCTTTATCTCCTTAACCAGGGGGTGAAAAAAACCCCTCAAAAAACCCCCCCGAATCCTCCTCAGAGTATGTGGGTATTCCATGCAAGTACAAGGTGCTTTAGCATATATATGTATATATATACACACACACACATATATATATACACCCTGCTGTTGGCATGTCCTCACAAAGAAATTGAGGACACGATACCTCAGCATTTCATCGTGCAGTCTGTGCGTCAGCAGCACTGTGGTGTTAAGGATCTGGGCTTAACAAAAAGGAAGGTCACAGAAAACTGAGTTGTCCAAGTTTTTGGAAGACTTTAGGAATGGATCTGAGGTTCTCCATGTCTTAGGTGCAGTGGTACACCAGACGGGCTGCTTAGCCTTTCTCGGCCGTCCTGCTCTTGTGCATCTCTTCCCTCCTTTGTGACTTTGCTGAAAGGATTTACTCTGGCACTAAGGTTGTCCTGTCTTACTTCCCTGTCTCTTTACAAACAAGGCAGGAGAGAATGAAAGCATGGGAAAAACAAATCACTTACGCACTTATCACATTATGCAATGGAAATAACCCGGAATTCAGGATCAATAAAGCATGCAGAAAAGAAAAAAAAGTTACTGTCCCAAATGATACAAACAGGCCTTTATCCTATGACCTCATTCCACTTGTATTTTCCTGGTACATTCCGTGCCAACGCTCTCTGGGTGTGCTGGGGGTGGGTGGTGGTTTTTTGTATGTATTACTTTTAAAATGAATTGTGTACAAAATTTCTCTTTTCAGTTGTATATGAGCACAGGTCAAGATTAGAAAAGTCATTACAAAAGGAAAGGCTTGAACATAAGAAAGCGAAAGAAGGTAAAAACATGCTTTTCACTTTGACATTTAAGATATTATTTTAGAAGTTAACTTCAGATGTATTTTGTTCAGTTTTAAATGAGTTACCAATGTCTAACACATTAGCAGGACCACCTTGGCAGATCTGTGGTGGTCTTTTTAGTACATATTTTTAATTTTTTTTTTAATCTAATCTTTTTAAAAAGTAATAATCTTTTTAGTACTGTTTATAGATCACTGCAACATGGCATAGTATCCAGAGAGGATATGTGTGTATCAATGTACAAAAACCTAACACGTATGTGGAATATGGGCATGTGTAAATCCTGTTGTGGCATGCTGAAAATTTAAAACTTGTACCAAAACCATGGGATCTTTTCCTGCATTCCGTCAATGTGAAATTAGACTCTGAATCAGTATTTTTACACATGCTTAAGGGTAAACGCATGCTAACATTTTTTTTTTTTTCTGATTAAAACTAAGTTCTAGGTGTGTGTGAGGGGGAAATGCTGGCACACATTGTATTTCTTACACATCAGCCCTCGATGAAACTTCAGCAGAATGCAATCCTCTTGGTTTTCTTTGAGTCTGTTGCTCTAAATTCACTACAATTTTCAGAGTAAAGCCTGTGTTCTTCCTAAAACTGAGGACTCAGCTGCTGAATTAAAATACCTACTTTAGCAAAGATTAAGAACATGTAAGAAATTATTCTTACTGTGCAGTCCTTGACAGCTTTCTGGTGCCATCTAGCGTAGAGCTGTCCTATTGCTATGCAAAGGTGAGTTGGCATTTTCAAATCTTGAAAAGAGGATCAAGGAACTAAAGGGGAAAATTTTTTTTTGTTTAAACTTAGACTAGACTTTTACACTTCTTAAAGTACATTTTTTTTTTTATGCTAATACAAGAATATGTGGTTTATAAATGTCCTTTTCCTTTTGAATGATGCTACTGGGCCTCTACTGAGAGAGTTCATGTAACAGATTTAATTACCCATCCGTAGTCTTGAGCCTGTACCCCCTATATCTCACACTAAGATATGAAACTTTTTATTGAAAATATTTCCTGAAACTTTTTAATGAAAATATTTCCTGAAACTTTTTAATGAAAATATTTTGTCAAAATTTGAGCATTTTGTTAAAGTCTCTGTAGTTTTTTTGAAGATCTTTTGGAAAACTGTAACTGCATAAGTATTCGTCTCTTTAAGAGGATTTATGTACGCAACAGTTATGTTATTTAAGTACAGGTTCTAATCTTCCTGGGTTTTTTCATCAGTATTTTCCCTTTTATGTTGTAGATTTTCTTGTTTATAAACTAGAAGCACAGGAAACACTAAATAAAGGAAGGGTAAGTCATCATTCCTAGTATAAGTTTTTAATAGTTGATGCTACGTGAGTTGCAAGAAAAAGGAAATGCTTTGCAGTTACAACTGTTCGAAGAAGTCTCACAAAATACTGACTGAAAGAGCGCTCACTTACTTGATTTCTACTCGGCACGCGTAAGTGCTCTGCAGTTCCTGATTATTTGAGCTTAATAGGAAATTCTAATATCTTTCCAGAAAATAAATTTAGAAAATATCCCCCTGTTTATATTATGGTAGTTCAAATGTCATGTTACCATTTTTAAGGGGGAATAATAAGGCATTAGAAATCTTTTTGTAGCTTAGCCCACAGGGAAAAGGACAGTGACAACTTTCTAACACGTGGTCTTTGAACTGGAAAGTATAAAAACATCAGGAAACTTTGGTTTATATACCAAGTGCCAGAAGGAAAGCTGTATCTGGCAAAGGACCCAGAGACCCGTACAGAATTCTTTATAAAGCGAGTAAATTAGGATTTTATGGCTACTTCATGTTGTAACTGGGGAGCAGTTTGTGAGCTGAGTAACCTAAGTTAAAATACATTGTTGCTGCAATAAGTGCAAAGTATATATGCTTGCTATGTTCCAAAGCAAGTGGAGAGATTCATTTGTTTCCTGGGGAGTTACGTCCCTCCGTTTGTGACTCCTAAATAACTGCATGTGCAGAGGTTAGGGGAATGACAGCATTGTTCTGTTTAACGCTAGTGTTTTCCTTTTACAGCAAGACTCAAATAGCCGATACAGTGCGCTGAGTGTACAACACCAGATGTTGAAGGTAGGCAGCTGAGATAACCCACTTTCCCAGGACACTGGCATTCTGCTATGTCGGGGAGATACGGCCTCGCTGGCTTCTGCTAGTTCACTCCAGCATGTCAGTACATCGATGGTGACTTCCTCTTGCAACAGTACCCTTAAAAGATGCTTTACTGCCGTTTTTCCAGCGGGTAACTTAATCTTATCGAACGTAATTACTTGTATGGAACACTGACTTACCAGACTTTACATAGTTTGGCATGTAAAGAATTTCTTAGACGCATTCAGCAGCTCCCAATGGGACAGTGCAACTGCAGGGCGAGGTGACGTAGCCCTAAAACAGGAGACTGCTCATCACAGAGATCATTTTCTGTTTGAGAGGAGCTGCAATATGCATGCTTTGAATAATAAACTTCTTGTTATGAATGCTTCCTATTCATCTGGACTTATTTAACAAATTGCCAAAGACAATATTAGCCAGATATGTAGATACGGGACTGTTCCAGTGTCCAACTTGGTGTTTGCAGAGTCAACATGAAGAACTAAAGAAACAGCATGCTGACCTTGAGGAAGATCACCGAAAACAAGGAGAAGAGTTTAGCAGGACGTTCAGTGATCACAAGGAGCGGTACTTACAACTGCAGCAGGAAAAAGAGCAGGAGATCTCTAAGCTGAAGGGTATATGCAACCTGTATCTGGCTGCCCGAATAAAAAATGTGTAGTTGTCATTGTGTTTTGTGTGATGTGGGACAGAAAGGCATTTTCTCTGTTCTCACTAACAGGTCATTCCATGGATCTTACGCCTCCCAGTAATTTACATTTCACTGATGATTTTCTGTGGCCTCTTTCTGAAATGTATTCATATGTGTGCTTTGTGTTTCTGTCTAGATTAGAGAAATGGTAAGAAACACAGCACTTAAAAGCCCATCAAATGTCAGTGGCTGGTTTATGCAGTCTTTCATTTTTAGTTCTAAGACTTGTATAAACCTGGAAAAATCGATTTGCCTCTTTACTCTTTTTTTTTTTGTAAATGAAAGGCAATCTAAGAATGTTTGCCATTTCTATCAGAGATTAATTGTGCCTCTTTATGAAGTGACTTTATATACAATTTAGACCTCATTTTCTCTGTATGTATCAGCTTCCTGAAACATGTTGCACCTGTATACTTGGATGATGAAGTACTCATTTTTTTACTCTTGGCATCCAGTTTCCTATTAAAGAGATTCTTTGCAGTTTGCAGACCTATTTGATCCTAATTACACAATTGCATAGAACGAAAGGATGGGGCTCTCCCCATCAAGGGCCTTCAGCCACTTTCTGCTGTGTGTCGCTAACACATGAGTTAGTTTTGGAGCTGTCTGCAGTTTTGTCTGCGCAGTATTTTGCAGGCAGAGGCTGGGTTTATTAGTTCTGCCTTGGCACCACACCAGTGCAGTCATCCAGCTAGCTCTTGGACTGAGCTGGATTGCAGCCTAGCAGCTTGGAGTGTGGGAAGAGCTTGCCTGTATCTGCTTGCAATATTCCACATCTACATAATGTAAGAAGTGGGAAGAGAAGCCCCTCTCCCTGGTTGCGGAACATAAAGCTTTTTAAGTATGCTGGCCATCTGGGCACCTCTTCCAGAAGAATAGCTTAGTCCTACGACATAAAATTCTCACTCGCCAGATGTGATGTGGGGGAAGAGAAGAGGGTGGCTTCCTCTCTGCATTTTAAAGATTCAGATTACTGTAATGAATTTTTCTGTCTGTAGTCCCCAGTGTGAAAAGTGATGCATAATTCCAGTTGCAGACTGGGTGCGCTAAATAAAAAATTTAGCCAAATTTTACGATTTTCTGCTTGAAAAGGTAAGGCTTTTTGTAGGGCTGGGGAGAGATGTAACGTAAAGAAGCCATACAATTACTCTAATCCATTTTTACTATAGCAATTGTGTAGGATTTTAGGTAGTTTGTGTCACAGTCTTAATTTCGGTGCTTAATCTAGTGTTATAAATCTGACCGGGTTTAAATTCTGTATGTTATTTCTTTTAAACAGAATCCCTGTATAACTTACGGGAGGAGAACAGACAGTTGAGAAAAGCTCACCAAGACATTCACACCCAGCTACAAGATGTCAAGGTAGGCTTTGCTTTGAGAACTTCCAAGACCATTAGTAAAAAGAACAATTTTCCCGAGTTTTAACAAGCCAGAAATCGGCTATGCTGAAGACTTGTAGTTTCTGTTACGTGGCAAAAAGGAGAGGAATATGGCTGAACTGGATTTTGTGTCTTTTGCTGCCTGCACTTCAGGTACATGCTCATTTGAAAAAAAAAAAAAAAAAAATGGAAGAGAAGTATTTAGTATAGAAATTGAAATTGGAAATTTGACTTTGCAAGTTAAGAATTGTGTTTTGGCAAATTAATATTGCTGAAATGAATGTTTTCCAGCTCTATTTTGCATCAACGTCTACTCCAACTTTTAACTTTGAGTCATACAAATTCTGGCCTCCAAAATTCTTGGCATGCTCCCTTTCTCTGCGTGTTTAATATGCATTCCATCTTAAATAAATAAATGCTGTCATTCCAGCTCAGCATTTTCTTTTCGAAATAAATTGAATTATCTTCCTAGTTCAAAATCCCCCAGGCTACCTAATTTGCCTTTAGAATGAACTTTATGTGAAACATGTACTGTTCTTCTTTTTGTGTAGCAACAGCATAAGAACTTACTCTCCCAACACAACCAGCTTGTAGTGACATTGGAAGACCACAAGAGTGCACTAGCTGCTGCACAGGTCAGAAAGGAAAGCGGCTTCTACCAGCTCTAACCTTCCTAAAACTTGTTTCTCCTAGTTCAGCTGACTGGAATGTTATGCATGTAGCCTTTCGCATGGGGACTTTGCAGGTAGCACCGTGCTGCACACTGCAGGGAAATGCATGAGTTGAAGGGTTGCTCTTAAGAAGAAGCTGCAACAAATCATAGGGCTGTTGGAAAATAAAAAGCTGTTTTATACGCCCAAGAGTGCATGTATTACTGATAAGAAGAGTATCTCTGCTTCTGTGAGAGCTGTCCGAATACTTTTCTTTCTCTGTCTTCTCTGATAGAACTTCCATTAATTTAACATGCCACGCTGACATTCACATGTATCATTATAAAGACCTGGATGCTGGTATACTATAAAGTCTCTTTTTGTGTATGACTGGAATGCTTTTAAGGCTGTATACATCAGTGCAGCAGAGGTAGAGTAGGTATAGAGGAGTGTAAACTCCTGGTGGAACTCAAATTAGTTAAAAAGAAGCTGCAGCATTTTCTTTCTTAAATGTCATTTTCAAGTGAACTATCTGTGAAGCGCAAACTTTGCTAGACTATTGCAAATTCAGTCAGCTGTACCAGTACAAGCTGTGTAGGCCACAGGGAATCTGAAAGTAGGAGTAATGTTGGAGCAGAGGAAGACTATTGGTGAAGGATCAGAGGCAAAGGCAATGAGGCAGTGTGAAGTTATTTTTATTCCTGACTAATTTTCTTCATTTAAGTATTTTCACAGTCCACAAAATCATTAGCAGCATTAAAAGTATTGGATCTTTTTTTTTTTTCTCCCCAGTTCTGCTTGTTGTGCATGTCAATGTGTGTAGATATTAAAAAAACAGGGAAAGACCAGGAGAGTCCCTTGTAGACTAAATATATGAAGAATCTTAATTTCCAGTACTAAAATATGCTGGCAGCTAATTTTAAGCTCTTCTCCCACTGGCCGCATTAGCTGCTTGGTATGTATTTGCTAACACCTGAAATTCCACAAGGGCAGATGCAGGGGCTGATTTAAGGTTCACCAAATCCAAAGGGAAGCTCCATATACTTCTCCTGGCTTTGATTCAGTTCTTTAACTAGAAAACCTGTGTCACACAAAGCCTTTCTATCTGGAGTCAGAACGTGGCATTTATCATATGGAGAGCCTTTCCTTCAACACAAGGGTCTTGCATATTCTTTTAGAACAGAAGGTATTTAGCACAGCTGCATGGTTTCTCCTGCAAACCAGTTACAGAAAGTTCACATGGGATTACTGCTTAGAAACGCAGCTCAGTAAATGACTCCTCTATTTCTAAGAGTATTCTAGACATTAAATATCAGTAGTCAATACTGCACTAATGAATTTGTGACCTGAATCTTTAAGGCATTGTAATCTTTGTACTTTTCCATAGCTGAAACAGCCAGACAGATTCATTATATATTTTTATAAACCCTGTCTTTCTGTCAGTATTAATACCTTCTAGGCTATGGCCTTGAATCGCAATTTTCAGCTTAGCAACTCGTGCAGCAGAATGGAGCACTTGAATTCTGATCTGGACATGCACTGTTTAAATATCCTAGTAGATTAGTCTCTCTGCATGGTCAGTGACTGGGGGGGAAAAATAATCAGAGACCTGCGTATTAGTCTTAAGTAAATAATATTTTTTTTCTCTAAAACTTCTTATTGGACTCTCCAGCAGTTAATCAGGAAGCAGAAGTATCCCTCTGGAATGACAAGAGTAATTACTGTGCATTCTGCTTTGCTTTTAGGCCCGTCTGTTTTAATGGATGCCATAGTCTTTTGAAGATGCTTCGAGGTGCGTCTAGCTTCGGAGCTGTTACGCATTGCATCATGTCAATCTGTAGCACTGTGGATATTGTTTTGTATGAGTATTATGCATTGTACATCAATGCATCATGCCTGTCTGCTGTACTATTGATTGCTATGATACCACATAACACACAAAATGACGTACACGGTCACCGAGTGTAAACCGTAGCCGGTTTTTTAACCTGAATTTTAAGAAGCATTATGAAATGCACCTCCGACTTCAAAATGAGTAGTAAACACACCCACCACCTCCGCTGGAGCAACAGAGAAACCATCTCGTGGGGCACCACCTTTCCTGTATGCAGCTGGTCAGCTTTTATAAATCCTATCCATCGCAAAATTTTTACTTTATGAGATAGTCTTTCTTGTATGTCTACTGTATAGACAGGGACTGCTGTACCAACCAGTCTGGATTCTCACACTGGACTTTTTGAAAGTATCCCGATCTTGTGCAAAGTTAAACAGCAAATCAAATTACAACATTTTACTGTTGTATTTCAGGAAGACTTTAGAAATTTGTATTTTCTTTTTTTTTTTTCCCTCTTTTTTTTTTTTTTTTTTTCCTTTTTCCTTGCTCTTTGCCAAAGGCGTTCTTTGCCTCAGTTCTGTATGTTGGCTGTTGTCTTGTGTAACACCTGTCTAAATGTTGAGGATTTGGCATTTTCATGACTTGTATATATACTTTAAAGCTACTGTTTCTGAAAGAACTGCACTTCCTTCTACCAGTAAAGGAGAAGTTGTGGTGCTCTCGATTTCCCTCGCTTTAGTCTGCCAAGAAAACAGCATCCTCCCCTTTTGACAATTCACCTGCTTGGCATGAATAAACCAAATCTTCGTCTTTGTCCCACAGAGATTTTTCTAATATACTTTGTATGCATGTGCACTTCAGCTGAAAAGATCATGATGAATCAATGCTATCTAGTGCGTGGAAACAACCAATTTTAAAATTATTCGCTCTGATGCAAATATTGAGTCTTTTCTACCATATGTCTTGCCAGCAAGTTCACTCCGAGGTGACTACGTTTTATTAAGAAATTGATTTGGACGCGCTATAATTATTGTGTTGACTTTAGTCCCAGGTGGAGGAATACAAGCAGTTGAAGGACACGCTCAACAAAATGCCAACGTTCCGACAGCCTGAGAAGGCAGAACTACCGAACGAGCAACCAGAGGTGCGAGTGCTGTCTCCCCACAGTGACCTCCCGATACACCATGAAGCTGTGGCTGAAGAGCATAAGGAGGTATAACATACTGACTGGCTACAGACGCTATAGGAAATGGTTCTTATTCAGCAAAATAGTAGCTATGCGCTTAACTTCCCACAGAAGCATATGTTTAATTGTACGCATTTGTCAGTTCTTGAGTAAAGTAGTAAGGAACAGTTTAATCTTACTGAGTAGTAGAAAAATGTATTCACAGTCACCTTTCACACGTGACTGTAAATGCACTTAAAACTGGTTTATGTAAACTGTTTTAACAAGTTGCTAAAAATCTTAATTTTTTGAATAAGCGGTCTCTAAAATTTTAGGTGTCTCGTGTTACAGAAAAGCTTTAACAAGTTCTGAAAAAATTGCCTTTTCACGTGTTTTATAAAGTTTCAGTAGCACGCTTAAAGTTAGTCTATTTAAAATTGGCACACTATCGGATGTTCAAAAAGGAAAAAAAGCAAAATTGTAGGTAAAGTCTTGAAGTTACAATATCAGCTGTGGGTTTGTTTTACGAGAGTTCTTGGCCAGCAGAACCTACAGGAAATAAAAATACAAAGCTTCCTTTGTAGACACAGAATTGTAATAGTGTTTTGTTCTACTTCAGATAAAACGAGGCTTAACCTACTCATGATGCAATTGTACAACACCTTGCGTAGCCGTGCAGAGCCAAGGGTCAGGTATTGACACCATTTGGCAGGAGGGGTAGCTTGTTCCAAAGCAGGCATTTTGCTCTCCTGACAACAGCTGCACTACTGCAGGCTGGAATAAAGACATCCGTATCTGGCCCTTGGCTCTCTTGAAAATATAAAATCCATAATATCTTGTGCACACATAATCTTGTGTACGTTTTGCAGAATGAGAAGCCAAAAGAGAGAGAAGAAATAAATACCCAGGAAAAAGAAGAGAGAGCTGAGCCTTTTCATCTGCAAGGAAGGGCTAATGAGGGCCAGCATGCCAAAGGACTAAATATTCAGGAGCAACAAGAAGCTGGAGAGGATGATGAGCGACATGTTGATCAAGTTGAAGAGGAACGCAAAAAAGAACTTGAAGAGGAAGAAATGGAGCAGGCAGGTCAGCCTGAGCACTTAGAGGAGGAACAGGATCAAGTACCAGAAGAGCATGAGTGGAAAAAACAGGAACAGAAAGAAGAAGAAACCAACATGTTGGGCGATCATCTTCATTCAGAGGTAGGGAGCTCTTTTCTGCTAATTGATTAGATTTGCTGTTTAAATGGAGGCATCTCTTCTCACTGCTGGCCCGGTATCGCGCTCACCTATTTCTAGGTAAAATCAGTGTCGTATTTATGGAAAGTTTGGGATTTGGAGCACTCACTGGTTTTTAGATAAAAGTGTCATATTTATAGAAAATTTGGGATTCAGAGCACTTGGATGCATGGATTCAGGCTCAACTTCAGCACACACATACTGCAGTGCTTGCCAAATGCAGCTTAACGAACATTAATTCTGCTGATAAAAAGCAGCAGATGGAAAAAAAGAGCGGTCAGATTGAATCCCATCTCCTCCTTTAAGTTTGAGGCCTGTGGTGGCTGATGGGCAGAAGATACCTGACGCGAATGAGATCTAGCTTCAGCACTCTGATGGAGAGCTGTCCTGCCTTACTAATTTGATGCATCTCAGCAAATTGCAGTGTGTTTCCTTGTCAGATCAACCTACCTTCTGTAAACACATTTCCATCTAAACATTCGTTGTCGTTTGACGGGAAATTTTAACTGCAAGATGAACATGACTAAAATAGCCAGGGGAAATCAGTGCACAGCAATGGCAAGTCTTGCTCTATGCAGCTCTAAATAAAACCAGCAAACCTGGATTTACATTCTAGATCGGATCTCCAGTGGAAAATATATTTTACTGATCTCACCATAGGCTCTGTAAACACTTACTCTCCTAGGAGATTAATTCTCTAACTCCAGTGTGATGAGAAACCATTGTTGAAGAGGCACCATGGATTAAAACAGTAGCAATAGGTTAAGCTGTGAACCTGGGGTTAGTTAAAGTTACTACTGGCTGTAAAAATGTGCAAAGTCTCATTTAAAGCTTAAAGCAGCCCCTACTGAAATTACCAGTTAAATCAATGAAGCATATTTACTGTCTTAATTGTCAGCCGTCAAAACTTGCTTTTACTGGTAATATATTGGGAGGGTTTATTATTCTTGACGTGTAAGAAAAGCACGGCTTCCCCCAGCCCATTATCTCCTCTTTCTTCCCCTGTCCTCCACAGACACCCCAACACTTCCAGTGTGTTAAAAAAAAAAAAATTAAACTTTAAACAGAGACACGAAAACTTAAAGTAACTTTACTGTAATTCTGCCTCTTGCGTGTAGCATCTGCGTAATTTTCCCTCTGGTCACAGATTTCTGCATGCTTGTTTCTGATCACTGAAATTATGATTAATCTATGACTAACTCGCTTCTTTGACAGATAACATCAACAAAAGCTGTAACAAAGAGACATAAGCCAGCTTATGAACAACAACTAGAGCAGCAACATCTTGCAGCCCAAAGAGCAGAGGAAGCCTATCAGCTACGAGAGCATCAGGAATCGCTACACCAGCAGAGACTGCGAGGGCAACTATTACGGCAGCAACAGCTTCAAGAAAAAGAGCTTCAGCTGCAGAAACAGGCAGAACAAGGAGACAAACTCTATAAAAACCGGCTAAGGTTAAATTCTTTTACGTGAGTTTGTCACGGTTTGTGCTCTGGGTTTTATGGCTTCCACCATACCACCTTTGGAAAGAGGGTGGTTTAATGCTATAAACCTAGACTGCCCGGAAACTAAACTCAGTGAGCCTCATCTCCTTCTTTCCAAGGATAAATCTGATTGCTGTTTTAAGGGGGTTTTTTCCTTCCCCCCCCACTTTTTACTATGGAAGCCTCTGGAGTAATGAGTGCCTGTCGCCATGCACGTCCTCGGAGGAGGTTAAGGGCTTCTGGCATACAATGTCCCTTGTCTTAAAGCTTGCTTTAAATTAGTAACTATTTTCCGCTAAGCAGAAATCATGATCTTGTAGTACTGAGGAGCTCCAGTATCAGATACGCATTAAGGTACCTAAGCTGAAGTTCCTCTTAAAGGCAAGATGCTGGTTTTAAGTAATTCCATGAGGACTTTCTGGACAGGAGCGACTAGTATTATTTGCATTGTAGAGACAAAAGCATGATTTCAGGAGAAACCAACACCCTGTTAGTGTCATAAAGTTACTGTGAATGCAGTTATATTCATGATATTGTAGCTTCTACGTGCCTTGCACCCTCCCTGTCATATTTCCTCATGCTTCTGTTTAGTTTAAAATTGTTAGTGACAATTTTTTGTCTTTTGGAATCTTAAGCCCATTGAATTTTCTTTGCTGAAACATTGAAATATTAATTATTTACTTGACCCGTGTTCTAAAAGGATTTTGGTGTGAGAAAGCCTTTCATAAATTGATAGTCAAAATATTCAGTCCTGGAAGAACGACGACACAAGTAAACCCCTTTCAAGATGAAAGCTAAAACTGCTTAGTAAACAAAATAACTGATCCATGTAGTCTGTCTTTAAGACCCTTTATCTGAAGGGTTCTTTGCTTCCAGTTCATAGTATTTGTGCTTTGATTATGGAATATACTAGTTTAGGAATTTTGAAAATACAAGGTAGATCCCATTGATATATGGAGAAATACAAGCACAGAAGTTAGTATAGTAGGACAAGAAAGTCTTTGTTCTATAAAGTATATCTTCTTTCAGGATAGATGATGTGAGAAAATATTAGGTAAGAGAAAGCTAAACTGGAACCCATTCTGGCAGGAGCTGGGAGAGGCAGAGATGCAGTAGGATGGTTTGATTATTAAGGCAAAACCACGCTTTTTTGAAACTGAAATGATGTATTTGCATTTAATTTTCTCAGCCAACAGGCTCATTTTGATAATGTGGACCATGATATTGTCCAAGGGGAAGAAGAGCAAGGTATCCAGGAAGAGGAAGGAGGTAAGATAAAATTTATGTCCCTACCATGTTCACAGGTTCCCTGTGTACTGCCTTTCATGAGAGATTTTAATAGTCATTTCATATCCAATTTGGATTCAAGTGAAATATAAACTTGCAGTTTAAAACCAGAAGCTCAGATAACACTGGCTGAACTGACTGTGGGAAATACACTAAAGATCACATCTGCGTTCCTGAAGGGAAAAGTGTCCTTTTGATTGAGCTACCAGGATAGGGCTTTGTGGATCTTGTTTACATTCCTGGCTCTGCCTATGATTTTGTTTGATCTCTTCAAATTATATAATCTTTCAGTGCTGGTTTCCTACTAGCAGTAAAACAATTCCGTTAGCATTATCTGTTCAGGTAAGCCCCTTAGGTAAAGGCTGCCTACTGCTAAAAGCATGTATGGAAGCTAGTACATAGGAGACTCTTTCTTAAAAGGGCTAACTAGAAACGGCTGTAATAAAATAATAATATCAAAAATTTGTCAGCTTATGAACGTGACAACCAGCACCAGGATGAAGGTGAAGATGATGATCAAAATAATGCAAATGAGCAGCAAGAACCAGAACATCAAGTAGAAAATCAGCAGGCTGATGAATCAGTGAGTATGAATTAAGATGCTATGGATTGCAGTCATTGCTGAAGTGAAAACCCAGAATCTCATCTAACATAATTGCGCGTTACAGAAATAAGATGAACCAGAGGTCTGCTAGGAAGACAAGTTTGACAGTTTAAATCTACATCTATGATCTATTTAAAGTTGTCCTTACTCATTTGGGAAGAAATCAAAAAAAGTTTCCTTGTTGGAAGCAAGTTGCTTTTCTACATTCCTTTCATCTGTGCTTTAGGTGGAATAAAGGATTTGGACTTAGCTGGGACTTGAACAGGTGAATTTGGATTAAAAAAAAAATAACAGGAGTAACTTATTGGTGGTCAGTCAAAAAGAGTGGTGATGGTATTTTTCATACTAGCATTAGTTAAGAGGGTAAGAGCCAACTCAATAGCCACTGAAACCAGCCGGAGTCAGTAGAGAAGTGGTGGGAGATCTTGGAAGAGAACATACTTCAGCACGGAACACAGCTGTGATATCAATTGCGCAGAGCTCTGGATGCAGGAGACTCAGTCCTGTGCCTTTCCCCAAGTTCCGTCTCACTTGGTGTCATGGAACATCGAGCGTATCGTCTTTACTCCTCTCCCCCTCGGCAAATGAAGTTATACCGTAAATATTTCTAAAGAATCTTTAACTTGTCAGCTATAAAGATACCAGAAATGGTTTTACTAAATGATAAGCAGAAAGAAAATGCTCATTTTCCAAATGGCAAAGTATGATGAAAAGTGAGTGGTGTTTTCTTTTGTTTTATAATAAACATAGACAAGGACAATACTGCAGGACAGACTGGTACTGAAAGATCACATCAGCTGTTTTGAGCCATGAGCATTTAAACTCTTATCTTTTTTCACCTGGTTTTATCAGGCCTTGTCAGTTGTCAGATAGTCAGTAAACAAAAGGAGTTCAACAGCCTGTGTGAAATAAGTCATTGGCTTCAATGTGGTTTTTAGCAGACAGACGCCCGCACTGCAGTTCGGTCTGTGTTTAGCGCTGAAGTATTTTTTCTTTCAGGAACTGACACTTCTGTATGGGCTAGGGTTTGAGCTAGTGACCCCTGATGCCTGTAGAGAGATTCCAGCTGGTTTCAGTGGGTACGGAGTTGGCTCACACTAGGGTAGCTTTCAAGTGACATGGAATTCGACTGTGAGATAAAAATACATATTTAACATTCACTTCTGAAAATTACAGAAGGCAGCCATGGAAGATGTGAATCCTGCTGATGACCCCAACAATCAGGGAGAAGATGAATTTGAGGAAGCTGAGCAAGAGAGAGAAGAAAATCTACCAGATGAAAATGAAAAGCCCAAGCAAACCAGTCAGAAACAAGGGCAGCCGGGAATGGAAGAGCACCTAGTGGTCAGTAAAGGGAAGGGACGCATCTGTGGGTCCTGTCTAAGGACAGCGTAGCACGGCTTGGCCAGAGAACACTGAACTTGGAGTTTTAAAGGTCTCTCTTAAGCCATACATGACACATGTGGGTAAAAGTGTGGAATTACTCCCGGTGATACCCTGGTATGTCTTTCATCACCGGCGCCGCTCAGCGAGGTTCGGTAGTCTCATAGTTCAGAGCCCCTGTATTCACCTTCACACAAGCCCCTGCAAGAACAATCTTCATGTTCGTGCCATCTTCATGTCTTTCCACAAATCCCTTCTCTGCCGCTTCCATGCCATCGACAATCACCTGTAAGCAGTGATGTCGCTTTTCTTCTACGGAATTCCAGTGAATGCTGCACATTTCAACTGTGTTTAAACTTCTCTAGGCAGAAATAATCTGTATTTTTATGGCATTGGTCTTTAATGGTGTGAATATTTCATTGTCTTTCTGCTTAGTATGGGAAGTCCTGCTTTATTCTGTGAAGTGACTTTTATTACAATCATTCTGCTGTCTATTTTTTAATTTAGGGCAGTTATAAATCACGTAGCCATGCTATCATTAATGCGAACGAATGCACTGTAAGTTCTTATGCTATTATTGTTACTTTAGCTTTACATAAAGTTTTAGTTCCAGAACAAGAAGCTTTAAACTTCAGTCTCCTAAAGCTAATAGGCATGCACATAGAACTGTATTCTTCCATGATCTTTCTGCAGATGGCAGGAAATCCTGACCAGCAGGAAGATAATGTGGATGAACAATACCAGGAAGAAGGAGAAGAAGAGGTAAGAAAAGAGACATAAGGCAAATGTGAACTCAGGTAGCAAAGCACATCTCCGTTAACGTTCAACCTTGGTATATTTTATAACTGCAAAATGAACCCAAGTCTTTGTCTGACTTTATGAAACCTGGGAAGTCTTTGCCATTACTCTGCTATCCACTTCTGGACACATACAGTGTTATTCATGCTTATACGCTGCAATCTGTTAGTCTTCCATGCAACACAGTATTAATTGGGCAATAATTGAAAAGATGAAGCCATGAACAGTGCAAGCAAAAATTCCTGAAACCCTCAAGCCCTCCGAAGGTCACTGAAAACGTCACTAACTCTGCACCTCTAATCACACACTGCTGTTCTGGGCAAACTGCTTCCTTGGCCAGTTACTTATTCTTTGGCTCTGACTTGGATTTATCTGTGCTCCTCCTAAGCAATCCAAGTTGGGTAAGCCCCTGCTATTCGTGGAGTCAGTCAGGAAGCTGTTAGCACGTTGCTTTGCGCTGGCGGAGGAAAGCAGGGGAAGGGACTTTTTCCTCTGTATGTTGAATGGCATGCTCATTATGCATGCACTAGCATCAGCTGCCCTGCAGTTCTTCAGTACATACCTCATCGATTGCTATTTTCTACTTCATACCTAATGATTTACAAAAAGCAATAGAAACAGCTGCTCATTGCTCCCTGATGGGGACCACTTTGTCTAGATTAGCTGCTATGCCCTTGGAATTCACCAGTTCGAAATACGGTTACTTAAATCAAACCAAGTCATTAGGAACGGGGAATAGTTGGCCTTTGGCAATTAGTCTTTGGCTTACAGGAAGTAATTTAATACATGTCTCAGAGAGGACTATGACCGGTGTGCTTACTTACTGGAAACGTTAAAAGAGTGAGCAGTGATTGAATGAGCAATCAAGAAAGACTTAAGATGCTGTAATCGGGAATAGTTTTTTAGTCGGTTGACTCAAATATCATACATTGGTCTTGTTCAAATCTTGCCCATACATCCCTCAAAGCGATCCAGGCTTGATGGGTACCCTTCTGCTGGCAGCAATACCTAACTCCAAAGAACTTGTTCGCAAGCAGCTTTGCCTGCTGTTGACAGCAAGTGCTAAATACGCTCTCCCGTTACTGACAGCGCTGAGAAGGCTGCTGCTGCTGTTCAGGAGGATGCCATAGCGGCTGCGGGAGCAAGGGAGCCCTGTCCAAAGCTGCAGTCTCATCGTCCTTTGTGGTGGGGGTTGGTGGCAGCACTGAGCGGCGAATGCTTCCCAGCCAGGTGAAACAGCTTTTTTCCACGGGGAGAGCTGTACGGCCTTACGGAAGCATCTTACCTAGCTTGCAGGACACCATTTGGAGCAGATGTGCATAATAGCGTACTTCAAAAGAAAATCAAGCATCCCTCTTTCAAATTTGGGTCTAACTAGAAAAGGACGTGGAAGTGAGGGCAAGTGCTGACATAAAGAAGTGATAGATCAAGATCTGAACATCTGGAAAATGGATTCAGTGTGGCCTGCTCTCTCTTCAAGGATAGAGTTGGAAGAGATTATTCTTCACTCCCAATCCCCCCTTGCTCTTTGTGGTTTTCCAGGAGCAGTTGGCAGAAGGATCATTCAACTGCTGGGAAAACACAGACAAAGTTACCGTTAAATACCTACATCACATATCGGAACTCAGATGGTTCTAGGAGTCTGCAGGGGGGTGGAAGTGTTGGTAGCGACTCTTTGCTGTGTCATGACACTCTTACTATGAAGGACAAGGAGAAAATATATATGTAGCATTAAAACATGGAATAAAATCTAAATGTGTTAACCTGTGATGAGAGGGTCTGTGAAAATTATAGTTAAAAGTTAAATACGCTCTCAGAGGAAGTGAGTTTCCTGATTGTTGGGTGGTTGGTTTGGGGTTTTTTTCCCCTCCTTTAACCTCTCTATGGCCTCTCCTCCCTTTCTTTTGAATCTTCATTCTGTAAAAGTGGAGCTGTGAAAATGTGTACGTTTATGCCACAGGCTACTTTTTTTAAAGGAAATTAAAATACACAGAACATCTCTGTGCTTTGTAGATCCAGGAAGATTTGACTGAAGAGAAGAAACGAGAACTGGAACGCAATGCTGAAGAGCCATATGGTGAAAATGACGAAAATGTAAGTACCGCGTAAACCCACGAACTGGGTGACACGATTAAACACTTGACATAGCTGTGATCATGTCACAGTGACATTACATAATAATTGTCGTAGCTTGCTTTAGATCATAGACCTTAAAATTTCATGCTGTCCCAGCTTCCTTTTGCTCATCCTTCCACCCCCACATCCATTTTTGCTGCCTGGAGGTCCTTGGAAATCTTTTCCTGTTTCTGCCCGTCAGCTCTAACAGCTCCAGCTGACAGTCATTTTTCCTTTTCCTTAACTTCATCTCATTGCCCCAAAATAAACTATAAGGAAACTGGTAGTTGCACTGAATCTGGTTTGTTTTTTAATTTTTTTGTTGTTGTTTTTTTGTTTTTCCCAATCAGGCAGATGAAAAGAATAATGGAGGGGCAGATCAAGAGCAAGAAATGCAAGACGAGAACAACCAGAAAGAAGCTCGTGAAGAGAACTATGAGGAGGAAGAGGAGGAAGAGGAAGGCAGAGATGTTGCAGCAAAAACTCGTAGACGAGGGGAGATGTAGTCCTCTTCATTTTTTTTTTTTTTTTTGCGGCACACGAATTCCTGTTTTGTTTTTTTGTTTTGGGTTTGTTTTGGGGTGTTGTTTTTTTTTTTAAACAACAACTTTTTTAGGATATTTACATTCCAAAAAAAGTTTGTGTTTTACACTTTTTACTTTTCTATTAGATGCTCTCATACGTTTATATGAATGCGGTCTTTTGATACTCTAGATTAGGATTTGTTTTCTATTAAAGCTGTACATAAACAGACATCATATAGGTTTAATTTTTCATAATTCCAGGCATGTTTTATAAAGGCCATTTTGGAATACGCTTTCACCTTGTCCAAGTCCGACAGAGATGTTTGGTCTAATTTCAGATACATTCAACATCTGAGGGAATATATCTAGTGCCTAAACCCGGTCGACATTAGTCACTCCCGCTCTCGTTGTCTTCCTTGACACAACTGTTCTGAGTCATGGCTGGCCACGCTGCCCCTCCCAGGCACGACCTGCGGTGCTCGTAGGGGCCCGGGGGGACTTTCAGCCATTATAATCCCATGACATTCTTCAAATCCTTGAAGATAAGCACCTGCCTAGCTATTTGCAGGCCCAGGCCTTTTATAGGTGCAGAACAGTTCTAAAATATGCAAGTTTTACAAGCCTTCGAAATACAGCCAGGTTAACAGCTGTTAATTTTGGCAGCTGTTTATATACAGTTAAATTATGCATTTATTTTAATGAGCATACCTAGGTACTTCAATTACATGCACTACATAGCAGGTAATGCAAATGGTGGTACGCCGAGATGAGATGGGAGCTAGAAACCAATTTAGACTTGAAGATCTGTTATGCCAAATCAAAACACTACAGCTGTCACATGAATGAAGATGTACAGAAGGAACAATTTTGGCGTCCTACTTTATATATAAAGTATTTGACCGGAGAAATGTAATTACATCGCCTGAGTGACATGCTTTCTGGGGACTGTAGGGAGGGTTAGGGCATGTTTTAACTGAGTCGACGTGATCGGTGCAAGATGTTGAACAAAGGCCTTTCCCTTCTTTTACTTATTTATTTTGAAGTCTATGCTGGAAGGATTTCCCTGTCCTCTAGTGTGAAAATCAGACTAGAGCCAAATCCCACAGCAGTTTTTTTTGAACAGCAAACATCTCTAGCACTGCATGCCGAAATGGAGAGGTGGGGGGGAAATGACACAAAACCCGTGCCTTGGTAGGCTACTACGAACATAACCACAGTGCATGAATATATACAATATTTGTATTGGTACAGACCCTAGTTATTTAATATATGTTAAAAAGAGAACGGGAATCTGGATTTCCTAGGCTATGCCCCATTGCTGGAAATGAGGCGCACGGTAGCTCCCCGTGAAAGTGCGTGTTAATATATAAAAGGAGAAGGTGTGGGATTTTTTTCCCTTTTTTAATAATGATGCCTAGCAATGTTTTTAGTTTAACTTTTTATATGAATGTAATTTAATTCATTTTTCTACTAACTCAATTATATTGTTTTATAGTTGGTTTCCATTCTTTGCAATTTTCCTAACTGCCCCAGATGCAGTGCTTATGTTTCATAGGAATATTTTTGTCAGCAAGTATTTTGGGTTTTCTAGTTACCATAAATCAGATTTACCTTATGTATAAAAAAAAGTTTACCTGATACTGTAAAATGTATAATATGTACATAATCTTCAGAATACAATTATTTTGGTAAATTGGCCTGTATTTTTAATGTCACGGTTGCAGTATTTAATTATTCGAGGCATAATAAAACTTGACTGCAGTCAATAAACTAGAATACAGTTACTGATCTTTCACAAGCGTGATGCTTTGGTTTAGTTTTCCCAATGATGCCTTCATGCTCGATTTTAGAGACTGGCAGAGAAGGGGAGGCAGCGAGGAGCCCCGATGACGTTTTGGGTGCGGTGGAGCAGGGTGAGGAGCACCGTTAGCGATGCTGGCAGGTTTTGCGTTCTGTGGCTGCGCTCTTTAACTTGTGACTGCGGTCCTTCTCCGGCTGGAGCAACAAAGCATCTTGGCCTTTTCTGTCAAACGTGAGTCTATGGAAGAGGAGGAGGGAGGGGAGCCCAAGCCCTTTTCCGCACAACCTTCTCCCACAAACGGGACGAGCTGTCCTCTCCTGGCTGCCCCATGGAGCGGGAAGCTATCCGTGCTGTCTGTGTTGGACCCACTCGGGCTAGGAGGAGAGCCCTTCCTCCCTGGCAGAGGGAGCAGGCTGCCTCTGAAGGTACAGATACATAGCAGAATACAAAGGGCTCTGCCTTTTCAGTCTCTCTCACACTTATAATGAGCTGTACGCTTCAAGCATTTCTGTTAAAGGCTACAGCGTTGCCTGTGGAGATGCGGAGAACGCAGACTGTCTTCCGCCACACCAACGGTGTGGAAAAGGCCGCTTCCAAAGTCATCTGCGGGTACAAACGAACTACCAGCACAGCGTCTTCGCATCAAAATAAGCTGCTTCTTGCTTCCCTCCAATTGCTTAAACAATTTGCTGGCTACAGATGAAATTAGGTGCTCGTGTGTTCTGCCTCGCAGACCCTGCCCTTGCCGCTGCCGCTGGGCACAGAGCATGTTTATTAAGCAGCTCTCACAATATCCTTCTGGTTACTGTCGGCCTGTGGGGCTTCACTTGGCTAACTTGTGGCTCCAGCAAGAGTCCAGAGAGACAATAAAACTCTGCCCAGAATGAGAAGCTTCAGAATAAGGGCTCCTATTGTGCGTCGTACGAGCCAGCATTCACAGCAGATGCAATATTTACTTCAGCAAGCATAACAACTTCACATCTAATGTGAATAGTCTTAATGAAAGCCTGTTCTGTCCTTAATCAAGGGCCTATTCACTTCAGACGAGAGTTACTTGACTGAAGATCAACTTTCCAGCTAAGACTTCAGGCTTGGCTGCCGAGAGCAGTGTGTAATCTCCGTAACGCGCCCCAGCCACCGCTCCAGCAACAACTGATGGTTCTTTCCCACGACTCCCCGGCCAACGGTGCTCCCTGCCAGCGCCTCAGAGCTCACGTTGGCGTGACTCAAGATGCAATCCCTCACTTCTTCCAATATTTTTTTGCAAAGGCCGAGGGCAGACCATGCCAGACTTTGCCCAACTGCCTCAGCTGTGGCTGCTCACCCTAAAATGATTCTGACCTCTTTGCCTGACACACGTCACCTAGTGCCAGACCCTGCAGTCCCGCTGGGTAGCTGAGCTGGTGGTAGGAAGGGGGACCCACATGGCTGGTCCTCATTGCCATAGGATGTCTTCTGGGATACACGGAATGCTGACTGCCTTGCTAAATCAAGAAGTTAATGTGTTTATGTGACCTAAAAATAAACTGGAGGTGGCCCACAGCTCCGGCTTGGGGGTGTGCAGAATGAATGGCAGAAGGAAATGCTGTCAGTTCTACTGCTCGCAGAGCATGACTCCCAGCATGCTGCTGTGGCAAAGAGGACTAACAGGAGTCCCGCATCAACAGAGTGAAAGTACGCGTTCAAAGGGAGAATCATAGAATCGTTTAGGTTGGAAAAGGCCTTTAAGATCATCCAGTCCAAATGTTAACCTAACACTGCCAAGTCCACCACTAAACCAATTAACGGGAAAGTAGCAACCCCACGCCTCCTGGCTTGGTGGCTGGATCATTTATAATGAAAGTAAAAACTAGGAATCATTAAGGTTGGACAGGACCTCTAAGCTCATCAGTCCAACCATCGACCCAACACCACCATGCCCACTAAACCATGTCCCAAAGTGCCATGTCTGCCCATTTTTTGAACCCCTCCAGGGATGGTGACTCCACCACCTCTCTGGGCAGCCTCGTCCAATGTTAGATACCTCTTGCCATTAATGCTCACTCTGTCCATGAAGAAATTTTTCCTAATATCCAATCTAAACCTCCCCTGGCATGACTTGAGGCCGTTTCCTCTTGTCCTATCACTAACTACGTGGGAGAAGAGACCAACACCCACCTCCCTGCCCCCTCCTGTCAGGCAGTTGTAGAGAGCAATCAGGTCTCCCCTCAGCCTCCTCTTCTCCAGACTAAACAACCCCAGCTCCCTCAGCCGCTCCTCATCAGCCCTGTGCTCCAGACCCTGCACCAGCTCCGTTGCCCTTCTCTGGACACGCTCCAGCACCTCAATGTCCTTCTTGCACTGAGGGGCCCAAAACTGGACACAGTATTCCAGGTGCGGCCTCACCAGCGCTGAGAACAGGGGGATGATCACTGCCCTGCTCCTGCTGGCCACACTATTCCTGATACAAACAGAAGAAAAAAGAAAAAAAAAACCCAAACACTACAAACTAAAAAAAAAAAGAAGTTACATCGCTTCTGGATTTGGCAGCAGTAGGATGGCTATTGGCGTCTTGTGACCAGGTCTAGCATCTGCTTGTCAAAGTACTGGAGACCATTCAAGGAACAGGGTGAGAGTGATGGGAAAACTCAGCTTATAGACAGAGAGTTCATGCTATAATCAGCTGAGGAAAGAAATGCTGGGGTGACTCGAGAGAGAGAACCCACAGAAGCAGCCAACTGGCGAGACAGGAGTCCTCAGCCTCCCAGTGAAAAACAAAACCCCACAAAAAAATTCAGGCCAGAAATAGAGTGTAAATGTTTAGTAATGGAGTTAGTTAGGCATTGCAGCAATTATTTTAAAGGCTGTGATGAATTCTTGATCACTAGACATCTTTTAAAAGTCTTTCTAGTGCAGCCCCAGCTTGGGCATCATGAGAGAAGTCCAACTGCCTACGATAAATTGAAAGGTCAGTCAAGAGGATCACCATAGCATGCTCTAGCCATAAAATACACAAAACAATAACACTCAGGGCAAAAAAAATAAAACCCAGTGGAATTCATTCCATAGGTCAGGAAATCCTCCAGCGGATCAGCTACAATATTATGGCTCCACAACTCACCGCAGTAAAATGACCGCTCCTCGCCACGTTGCCTTTAACAGCTCCGCGTACGCCAGGGAGTTCGAAACCATTTGCAGGCTGAAAGCCACCACGCGC